GTAGCAGGGGACCTGCTGGCCTCCGAGAAGGTAGCAGGGAAAACAGATTAAACTAGACCTGCTGGCCTCTGAGAAGGTAGCAGGGGACCTGCTGGCCTCCGAGAAGGTAGCAGGGAAGAACAGGTTAACCGACCTGCTGGCCTCCGAGAAGGTAGCAGGGAGAAATAGGTTAACCAGACCTGCTGGCCTCCGAGAAGGTAGCAGGGAGAAATAGGTTAACTGGACCTGCTGGCCTCTGGGAAGGTAGCAGGGGACCTGCTGGCCTCCGGGAAGGTAGCAGGGGAAAAACACATAGATTAAGCTATGATTTCAGAATCTAGGCTGTGCCACTTGCTAAGTAATACCAGCAGTGACAAAGATTGAAATATCCATGTTAAGATGTTTAAAAGAAAACAGGGTAAGCCAGTACCAGAGGGAGGAATGGAGTCAGAAGGAACTCCAACCTCACCTTTTGTTAAAGAAATTACACCTTTTAAACAAATCCTTCAAAATTGTGGGCACAGTCCTTGGACTAAACAAGCCCTAGCTGATGTCTGCACTATTTCGGACCTAGAGGATAGATTGGCTCAGTATATCCTCATATACAAACCTTCTAGTGCTGCCAAAAGAGATGCAGCAGCAATTTGGTTGTTGTGGGAGGCATGTAAGGATTCTTCCCTCCGCTTGTCTTCATGTAAAGAGGAAAAGGCACAAACGGAAAAGGGAGCAGACAATTGGAAGTTGCTGGCTACAAATACCCAAAGCCAGCTGAAAATAGTGAAAGAGGCACTCCAGGAATACAAAAAGAGTGAAAAAGTTAACTCTGCAGAGGCTGGAGGGAGGCAGGTAAAGGGGGAGAAGGTCCTATGTACGGCACCCCCAGGCATAATTACAAAGAGAAAAGAGAGTTAAAAAAAAAAAAAAAAAAGTTAACTCTGCAGAGGCTGGAGGGAATTAAGCAGTTAAACTTTGTATTTCACCCAAACAATTTTTAACCGAAAATGTTAAAAAGGAAAAGTGTTAGAGAAAGAGCATTCTTGGTTTCTTTGCAGCCATTCTGAAAGAAAAATGGGCCCTTTTCCAAAGGAATGTCTGTAAATTAGCCAGGCAAAAATAAACTATCTGATTAAAATCATTTGACTGGACAATTTAGTCAAATTTGATAAAAGAACATAAGAGGGTTCTATTGGAACTTAACTGCCTCAAATGTATAAAGGGAATGTAAGATGTAAAAAACAGAGCAGTGTGGAAGGGATGTTAAGGAAAAGAAAACATGTATGTATCTGTCTGTGTGTGTGTAAATATGTAAAGTTCTAAGGACCAGTTAGTTTTGTTTTTGTTTTAAATAATGCCACTAAAAATCCATTTGACTCTTTAATTCAAAGTTGCAAAACTGACAGACCTTTTTGCTAGACACAGGTAATTAGTGTTGTTTGGCTTTGGGATTTGGCATTTAACCCTTAAAAGGTAACTCAATGCTTTACAAAATTTAAAATGTTTTTAAGTTGTGGCTGCAGCAGGGCAGTCAAAATCAGGAGAATATAAAAAAAAAATTTTTTTTTGGATTCTTTTTGTTTGTTTGTTTTTTGTTTGTTTGTTTTTGTAACAAAATAGCAGATGAGAGTTATTGTAAAAAAAAAAAATTAAAAAAAGACAGTGCCTCTCTGAAGCAACAGCAGGGGTGAGGTGCACAAAACAAAAAGAAGCAATGTTAGAAACACTGAGTCTTAAAATGGCTCTGAGTAATCAGACTGTCACTTTGATAAAGGCGCATGAAAATTCTGTAAGCAAAAAAAGAAATAGTGACACCTTATGTAAAAATGGATCTGGATAATGTTATACAAGTTAAACTATGGAAGGAATGTGCATTTGCCCCAGAACATGTGCAGGGTATATTGTAGAAGGGGCAAAAGAAATGCAAACATACCATGCTACTTAATTAAAATGCTATTAGGGCTCCAAAGGGAGCCACAATAGGTTGGGTTTTCTTTTTCAGATTGCTGTGTGTTTTGGAAGCAGAAGTTAAAAGTAATCAAAACTCTGGTGAAAGTTGATTGTGTCCCTTTTAAGATAGAGTCTCTGAGCTGCTGATGGCTTTAAATCCAAAAGCAGGAAGTTTCTGTGAAAATGCAAATTACCTAAATGATAAAGGAAGGAAAGAACTAGCAGCACAAAGGAGCTGCAGATAAAGGACATACCTGGTCAGCAAACAAATTGTCTAAATAAAAGGCATGGGATAACAAGATAATTTTAATACATTTAATGATAAGTATCCCTGTAACAACGTATAGTGTGTATGATTTTTGGAAAAATCCTTTAAGGTCGTATGGTAATGATGCTTCTCAGTTACTACCTGTAAATAGAACTTAAAGCTTAACACAGCAGGAAAAACATTATAAACTTGGTCTGCTGTATAAGAAGGAAAACTCAGGGATTTAATGACTAAACAGTGGGATCCCCATAACCCTTAAAAGATAAAAGCCATTGAAACCTGGCCTGCCTATAGAACAAAAACAGGAAAATATGGGGGCAATTTCTCTGTTTTGCCTGCAATCAGCCAGGGTATTTGTAAAAGAAATATTTTAAGCAATAATCTGCCACCCCAAAAGGGGTAGAAACATGTTCTTTTTGTCTTTCAGAAAATCAGGAAAAGCTGATGCCAGCTGAAAAGCAACCCAATACCATGAATCTACTGTCACAATAGAAATTGTGTTCTGTGTTCTGTGTTCTATGTTTTGTCTTGTGTTTTGTCTTGTTGCTAGCACTGTTGTGTGTTTAAAAAAAAAATACTGAAGACCTGCAGGAACTTAAAAATAAATTAAGCTTTCTGTCCCAGCTACAGGACAGCCTGATACAAAAACAAGTACATGCCAATGTAGACTTGGTCCAAATTGGTCTGGGTAACCTAAAAGGCCGATGGAATCTTTAGTAATGGCTTAATACTACCACATGGCTTATCCATAAAAAAAAAAAATATATTAGAAATAGGAAACTACACAGCCATAGCTATGGGATGCACTGAAATGCAGATACTTGCACTAGCTACTTTGGAACACAAAATGTTCTGGGTCATATTGGGAAATATTAAGGGTTTGATGCATTTGTTAAAAAAGAAAGAGATCATTGTTTGACACTTATCAATATGAATGGATGCAATATGTTTCCAGTACTGTAAACCAGACTTGTTAATGGGAGAAATTGTTGTCAAAATTGCACACCAACAGTCCCTGGAGGCAAAGGTATTGAAGGTTAACCCACTCCCCATATTACATATGGGATCCTTGGGGCTACTCTGGATCTTGAGGCAGTGGGGTGGGGGGGGGGGGGGTTTTTGGGGGTCAGGGTGGTTGCGAATGGAAGCCTCAAAAATGGGGGGTGCCCCCCTTCCCTTTTGCCCCCGAACCTTTTAGGTAAAGTTCTTCCTTAGGTCTTTTTTTGGGTTGAATTGGAATCACAAACTCAAATTGCCTCTCACAATTTTTTCTTTAGTAGGCTAAAAATAGAAAGTGACCCTTGAGAATTATAATTTTTAGTGAGAAGAGGGGGATGATGGTACATAATAATAAAGAAGTTGTATTTAAATATCACAATTGTGTGTGACTCCCTAGTTTAAATTTCATAGTATTTCTTATGTATTATAGTTGTGGGTTGTTTTTGTTCTTTTTCTTTCCCTCTTGGAATTGCAAGCTCCTGATTGGAAATATTTTAGTACATTCTGACTCTGAATATAGTTTCAAAGAAAAACACTCAAAAGAAAAAAACAAAAACACACAAAAAAAACAAAAATTTCCCCTTCACTCCCCTCCTTTATATTATATTAAAATATAAGAATAGAATAGAGATAGAGGATGTATATGGATGGATGATAAGTGATGAGTATAAAAGAAGGATCAGGAAGGTTCCAGCCTCAGTATCCAGTGAAAATGGAGAAGAGGAATAAAGGAAAGAACCCCAGCAACCCCAAGGGGGTCCCCCCCAAAACCCCCAAAAATGAAAACAAAATAAAAAACAAAAAACACAAGATAATATATTATCTGTCTACTGATGTTTTATCCGCAAACAGAATGAACAAAAACACTTAGACATTACCCAAAGAAAAAAATACTAAAAAATAAAAATATAAAAAAATAAGAAATTTAGTGGGGTTGTTGTGCGGGCAGACTCTCCCAAACCACCAATAGATGAATTATCAGGCCCTTTCTCTTCTCTCTTCTCTCCCCCCCTGCCCCCGTCGCTTGGCGTGGGCATCTCGGGGGCGACTTTAGGGTTTGTAACTCTTAGAACAACTTTGTGTGTGTTTGGTGTGTGTTGATTTATGTGTAAAAAAATGAGAAGAAATAATAGATTTAATAAAATGAAATAAATTAAAATAAATGTTTTTTATTATTTTTTCATTAATAAGATTTTTTGTGTTTTTTTTTTTTTTTTGTTTTTGATTTTATTTTTTTTTTTTTACGGCACAGCGCCTCCTGCTGGTCGTCTCGGGAATTAGCTCTCCAGCCTACAGAGCACCTCCAACTGGCCGGTGTCTCGCCTGCCCCTGGGTCCCTCCCAGACCCCAGTGCCCTTTACCTTGGGGCCCCAACAGTACCCCACCATGCTCTGGGTCTCCCCTACCAGAGGAACCCTCAACCCTCTCACCCACCTTGTCTCATTGGCTACTGCCCGTCATCTAGCCCCCGCTCACTGGGGCAAACTGCAGTCTGCCATAGCCACTCATCATTGGCAAGGGGGCTAGGACCGGCTGCCTTTGCCTATTCCCAGGCTGTATCTCTGCAGCCCCAGGACCTCTGTAGGCCTTCAACAAGGCCTGCAGCCTGGGGTTTTAGCAGGCTGGAGCGCCCCAGCTCCTCTGGCTCTGGCCTGCCCTCTTTTCTCCCCAGCAGCTGGGTCCTTCTCTCTCCACAGCTAGACAGAGACTGACTTAGCTCCTCCCGGAGCCCTTATAACAGCTGTGGCCTGATAGGGGCGTGGTCCCAGCTGTGGCTGCTTCCCCAGTCAGCTTAGACTTTTCTCTAGGATCAGGTAACTGCCTCGCTACAAGGATTTTATTGTCAGGGCATTATTTTTTTTTTCTCCTTTCCTATAGCTGGTGCACACAGTCAGCTCACGCTGCACAAATAACATTAAGTTGTTCTCTTAGGTTTCCAAAGCAATTTACAAATGCTGTTCTCCAGCCATGCTGTATGTCAGTGTCATGATCCCCATTTTACAGCTTGGGGGGAACTGAGCCCCCCAGGGAGGCAAAGGGACTCACCCAAGGTCGCATAGAGAGTCAGTAGCAGAGCTAAGACTGGACTTCAGGAGTCCGGATGCTTAGTCACTTCACTCGGACTTCTAGACCATGTTGCCTCCCAAGTTAATGCAACATGAGAACCTTTTAAAAACAGTCTGTGTCATTTATCAGACTATCCCTACCCCTTCTCACAGGTCAGAGGGGTAAGTACATCAGGAATGAGTCTGCCCATGGTTGTGACATTTTCTGGGCTTGAAGGGGGTGGGGTCTAGTCTCTGATGGTGAAATTCACCCCTGCGCAGAGGGCCGGCCCAAGGGCTATGTATAACTAGAGATTTCAAAATATGGCTTCATTCTGAATCGAAACGACAAATCGCAATTGCTTGGGGGCACTCGGAACATTTCGCTTTGATGCCATTTCATGCTGAGTTCAGCTTTTCTACAAACGCCGTAGTAGAACGCAAATATGTGAGAGGCATTGTAATATCTGATGCAAAATTTTAAAATAATTCAGAACGAAAAGTCCTATCCCAACGAAGAACTGAAACGCTGTGTTCCAAAAACTGTCAGAATGGGACGTCGCAACAGTATTGGAATTTCCGCCCCCGGTTTTCTTCTGAAATGAAATTCCAGCAAAAAATTGACCTGACTTTGCACGGCGTAGAACTGCACGTTCCTATGGAAGACGGTTTGGTGGATGTTTCTCCAATCAGCCCTATGTGCAAGCCACTCTGTCCCCATGTAGGGGTGACTGGCCCGCATAGCAAGGTTGGTGAGCTTGCAACATGGCTGGGAGACTCATGCTTTAAGATCCAGGGTTCAAGCCCCACTGCCGACAGAGCCAGTATTACAAGTGGGGGCTTGTTTGTGGAATTGAGCAGGGGGGATTTAAGATCAAACTGGAGTGCAGGCCTCATGTTGGACCTCTGTGCGGGGTGAATTTCACCCTCCTTGTCACTATGCAGAAGCAGACAGGGGAAAATTGATCCTCAGTGTGAAGCTGATTGAATCAGGATTAACCCTCCCTGAACCCACAGCAGAATCCCCATGGAGCCTGCTCCTGCTCTGGGACTGAGAGCCAGGTCTAACCTTTCTATCCTATCAGCAGTGGGATGATAATGCATAGGGACAGCATTCACCTGGGCCAAATTCACTGAGGATGTAAATCTGTTGCTCCATTGCAGACCAGGGAGCTAAGTTGATTTACACCAGCTGAAAATCAGCCCCTTGGGATCCAGTTCGCTTTATTTTTGAAACCCTCCATGGAACTTGCAATAGACAGATTCACTGTCTCTGCTCCCCTCTAGTCCTCCAGCATCAGCCTCCTTTTGGAGCCATTGCACCATCTGGCTGCTGGTGGTGAGAGAACCTTCTCCTTTGCAGCTCCGGTCACCTGGAGCAGCCTTTCTGTATCTCCCCTTGTCTCCTCACCTAGCCAGTCTCTCCTGCAATCCTCCCTCTTTTTCCTGTGCTTGTCTCTCTATCTGTCCAACCTAGGGTTTTATACGGCCACCCATCATCGTTGTCTTTGGGAGCCTCTCAAGTAAAGTCAATAGCAAAGTCCCTCATGGATGTCTCGCTTCACTTAGATTCTTCCCCTCTGCTCTGCTGTTACAAACTCTGTGACTCTCGTTTACAGCCTTGGGACTCGGTTGGGATGAGATGAGGCATGTTATGCCAAATGCTATTGCACGGTGGAGTTCTATCCCGTTTCTGTGGAGCCAAGGGGGTTTCACGTGGACGTGGGTAAAAGTTCAGCCAGCTGGAGAGATGGGTTTCTGCTGTGTGCAGGGTAAAAGTCCGTCGGTGTCTCCAGAGCAGCTACAATTTTGCACATTCCCCAGGGAGGGTCTCAGCTTGTTATGGGCATCACACTGGCATAAATGGTCATCAGCCCTGGATCTTGGGGCTGGGAAAGAAAATAGGGCAAGAACAGACAGTGAGTGCGCAAACCAAGTAATGCTCATGGATTGATGAGCCGACAAAACCCCCTGCAGCCCCATGGCCTCTGCTGCCACTTCCAGCATTAAAGGGAGCGGGAAGCAAAGCACCCTCTGGTCCATCAGCTGTGGAGCTGAGTTCAAGAATTGCGTGTCCTGCTCCCAGCCCTGCAGGAAGAAGGAGACGTGTAATACGCTGGCAGAGTGTGTGTGCGTATGTGTGTGGTAGGCCACTGGAAGATAACAGCCTACTACTGCTGCCATCTAATTCAAACTGGAGCAGGGGCAGAGAAGAGCTGCCAGGGTGAGCAGGGAATGGAGGGCTGATCTTTCCAGAGAGGGCCAAAAGAGCTCAGCTTGTTTAGCCTAGCCAAAGGCAGGCTGAGAGGGGAATCTCATGGCTCTCTGTGCATACAGCGGGGGAAACACCAGGGAGGGAGAAGAGCCATTGAAACTAATGGACAATATTGGCACCAGAACAAATGGGGATAAACCGGCCAGGAGTAAACTGAGGCTGGAGATGAGAAGATTTCTAACCATCAGAGGAGGGAGGTTCTGGGGCTGCCTCTCAGTAGTGGGGAGAGGGGAAGGGGGATGGGCAAGCAACCCAGTTGGTCTGAGGATGGAATTTGATCAAGTTTATGAATGGGATTCTGCGAGGGGGGTGGCTGAGAGAGCAGGGACAGGCCTCTGGGACCCAGGAGGTCCCTGCTGGTCCTACGTTACGATCTAATCCCGGAGCTCAGGGTCAGAGATTTGTGCTGTGGGGCTGAACGTTCAGGGATGAAAACCCGCTGGCACCTCATGCTGCGGGGCTGTTGTGCAAACGGCCAGCTCGGCTGCCGAAAAAGCTTCCCGGTGCTTTGCCTGCGTTCCCAGGCCGGACGTTTCTAGTGCCAGCCAATGAGCTGGGCAAACATCCCCAGACACGCTCATCTGCACCTCCAGCGCCGGCCCCTCGGCAGATGTAAATCAGGAGTAACTCCACTGAACCCGGTGGAGGATTGGGCCCAACCTCTTTTCTGCTCAGCATGGGTTGGCCCAATTTTTTTGCGGTGACCCACCGTCTGCTCCTAGAGCGAAGGGCTGGACGCAATAGGAGTGAGGAGCTCCTTGCAGGAGGGGATCGCTGATGACAGCCGTTTCCTCCAAGGGGATGCTTTAGCTGCAGGGCTGGCAATTAAAGGCACACGAACTCCCTCTCACCTGAGTAGTGTCTGGAGGTAGCCCGGTGGCGGAGACGTAGATGGTGGTGCACTCAGAGCTCTCCTCCGCGGGAGGGGGGCGAGGGCTTTTTGGCTGCTGTGCAAAGAGAGAAACCTGTGAGCCCAACGTCTTCAGCGGAAGGAACCCACCACTTCCTGCCCAGATAGGGAGAGCGGCATATGCTAACTGCGGCACTCAGCCTCCTGGAGACCGTGCTCAAAGGTGGGCCAGGAAACCACCTGTGACTGTGAGGGTCTTGGGAGAAATTCTCTCTGAAGAAGCTGACGTTACACTGGCCGCTTCTGAATTACAGGCTAGATTCCCCCAGGCCAGCATGTAGGCCAGCATGCCTCTCTACACCATCACCAGCCAGCAGAACTGGCCAGATGTGCAGTGGGGCTGCATGCTCAAAGAGGGGTTGATTTGAGGGTGCTCCCTGCTGCTCCCGCCCCAGTCTCTCCCAGCAGGACATGCAGAGAGCTCCCAGCCATGGCCCATTGCCTGCCAGTGCCTGGCCAGAGACCAAACTCATCTCGCTGGAGCGTGACTGCCGCTGGGGGCCAAGCCAGCCGCCCAGAGGCGAAATCCCCAGGCACTGCACAGCTGCTCCACACTGTCCCCGACAGCCTGCTTTAGCCACCTCAGCTTTTGCAACAAAAAAACCTGATTCTGATCTCATAGTGACAGGTTTCAGAGGAGCAGCCGTGTTAGTCTGTATTCGCAAAAAGAAAAGGAGGACTTGTGGCACCTTAGAGACTAACCAATTTATTTGAGCATAAGCTTTCGTGAGCTACAGCATCCGATGCAGTGAGCTGTAGCTCACGAAAGCTCATGCTCAAATAAATTTGTTAGTCTCTAAGGTGCCACAAGTCCTCCTTTTGATCTCATAGTGCGTCCTTTGGTCCACGCTATGTACGGATTCAATGATGAGCCTCTATCAACACCCAGTGGCCAAAAGTGTCTGGCTCACAGGGCTCCCTGCCTTCTCTTTGAGACTCGCCCAGCGAGCAGAGCCATGTTTTGGGGCATTACTTGGGTAAACTCCCACTGAACTAGGAAATGACCTCAGCGTTAGACAGGTAGGGGGTTTAGTGGTCAGGAACTGCTTCCAGTAGGACACTGTGACGGGGCTAGTTGCTCTCCATTCAGGTCTGTCCTTGGGTCTGTCTCTGATGCTATCAGTATTTATGCTGCAGCAGGTAAGATTCTCCTTACGGGGGGTCTTGGAAGCGTTTTCGTTGACCAGCCCTCATGCACGACAGCCATGTTATGGCGGGGAGAAGTTTGCAACATTGCACCAGGCGACTCCTTCAAATGCATCAGCAGCTGAACGGTGCGCGAAGTGCCTCTTGCTCAGTGCACTCGAGCCCTGCAATCACATGGGTGTGGCAGGCAACAGGGCTGCACGGGGGTCACTGAGGGCAGAATTTGGCCTGCAGAACCTCGGGTGATTTGCAAGAAGGGAAGAACTCAGCATGGCTTGCCCAGCAGGGAATGTAGCCGGGCTGGCTGCTAGGAAACCAACGCAAAATGTCCTCTTAGTGACTAGATCAGGGAGTCACTGAGAGGTGAGAAACATGGGGCTAGTTCTCAAGTCCGGCAGAGCTGCATGAATGTCTACACCCCACGCTATGGCCGGGCATTGACTCAGGTGTGAGCCCTAGCCCCCTTTCCATCCACACACAAATCAGTCTGACTCGGCGAGCACTCAGGACCCTGTGAAGGAGACGGTCAGAGCCCAAGCCCAGCTGGGACTCAGGTCCAAGCCCTGTCATTTTGCAGCCTGGACACAGGTCAAGTCGCAGCTCCGAGTCAGAAGGTCTGTGTCATGCAGTATGAATGGGTGAGCAAGGCCATGAGATCCAGGTCCAGCAATTGGAAGCCCAGGTTCACGATACAGCCTGGATGCTCAGGTGCAGGCTTGTAAATACAGAGTCCACAAGCCCAGGTCCCACAGAGCTGCAGTGGGACGTACGTACCCATAGAGGCTTCTCTGAACTTGCCCCTGTGAAAACTCAGCTGGGGCCAGGGCTGCCGCGCGAGGCAGAGTGGCATCCGTCACACACCCCATAGCTGCATCTGTCCCTGCTCGGCAGACGGGACGTAAACTTCTTCAGGGCGGTAAAATGAGAGGACTCAGTGACTCACGACTCGGGCGCAGGTCCAGGGAGCAGGAAGGAGCTAAGTTAGGGTTGCCGATTTTGGCTGGATGGATTCCTGGAGATTTCATCGCTTGACATAATCTTTAATTAAAGATTAATCTTTAATTCCTGGAGACTCCAGGCCAATCCTGGAGAGTTGGCAGCCCTAAGCTAGGTGAACATGGTGAGTTTTCTGAGTACAGCTGGACGCTAATGCAGTTTAAAATCAGTCCCAGAAGGGTGTCAACTCCCCTTTGTGTGGAAACGCCTATGCACAACTCAAACTCTAGCAAAGCAGGACGGAAGTGATACATGAGCCTTGTGGCCCGCTTCCCTGGGTAGAATTCACCCATGTTGTAGACGGGACTTCAACCTTCCAATGGAAGGCCATGGCCGCCTAGGTGGGGGCTGGGGGGCTGCACCCAAGTTCTGTCACACACGAAGAGCAAACGCCCAAACTCACCTCCACCCTCTGGACTTGTGAGTAAATTGTGCAACTTTCCTTTTCCTCCTTCAGCTGAGAATGCTCTTTTTGGCCTGATTGGAAAAACAATTTCAAGGGTTTTTAGGGCAGGAGACACACAAATGTGACCATGTCAGCCTTGCGATCTAGATTCGTAGAGATACAGGCAAGGACCTGTCAGAATACATCACAATTCTTGCAGTCTAAGCGTTCGTCACCCAATAAGGTCCTAATGAAATTCTGGCTTCCTCTAAGATAGCAGTTCCCAAGCTTTCGGAAGTTCAGCCACCTGAAACCAGACACATCCCCCTTCAACTCCACTGGGTGTCGTGAAAGGCTGATGGACAGGGCAGGTCAAAAATTTTCCATCCATAGGGTTTTTTGACAGAAAAATTAAGGTTCTCAGCTAAACAAAAATTTTTCATGAAAAGCATCTGCTTTTGACAGAAAATTTCAATATTTTGTCACAATATTGAAAAAAATATTTAAGCCAAAAGCTGAAAGATGTCCATTTAAAATGGCCTCATGGAAGTTGTAGTTCCAGAAGATTTATGCTCCCATTCTTCTTTATGGGCTGAACTCTCTGGCTGGACTGCATCTCCCATGATGCACCATGCCCAGGGATGCCTATGCTATACCAGCTCTCCTCATGAAGAAGGGAGAGAGCCATGCATCATGGGACACGTAGTTCAACCAGGCGTCTGGCCTATAGAGGACAATGGGCGCATGAGGTGCCCAAAGTATAGCTTCTAGGAGGATCAGCCATTGCCTGGCACTTTGTGCAGACATTTGCACCTACGCGAAGTGGGTGTGAAACACTGTTGTTCTGATTTGCACTCACGTTGCACTAACATAAGTGCCTGCACAAAGTGAAGCACAAGGGTAAATTACTTGCACCATGCCTTTCTATTTATCTAAGATGTATGTGAGATACCTAGCATGTTATATCTAAGCTAGGATCCCTCACTGCCCCTTGAAGTCATGAGAGGAGATCATATCAGAAGAGTATATTATAAATATCGGAGTCACACGATCAAGTGGTTACATTTTTTTAAAAACCTTCCTTCCTGCCTCTTAACTCTGTATGTTTCTGTTCTCTTTAAAACTAAAATAACTACTAGGTGGAGCTCCCTTGAGACTGAATGCATGGCTAGTCTCTTCCCCATGCTAGACTGCTCAATACAGGTGAAATTCACTCATGTGCAGAGACGCATGCAGGCATTTCCAGACTGGGTCAGACCCAGGGTCTATTAGCCCACGCTCCCGTATCTGACAGCGGCCAAGCACCAGCTGCTGAAGGCCAGGTCTGCACAAGAACCTTTTGCTGGAGTAGTCAAGTGGTTGGGGTGAGATTTTTAATGACGTTTTAATACCAGCAAAAGCCCTAGCGTAGGCACAATTGCACCAGAAAAGAAGCGCTTTTGTGGGTATGGCTTATTTCCTTTGGGGAGCCAGTATATGCCACACCAGCAAAAGCAACTTTTGCTGCATAAACTGCATCTGCACTAGGAAGGTTTGTCAGGATAGCTATATAACTGCAAAGCTTTTCCAGTGTAGGCCTGGCCTCAATCTCTCCGTGCCTGCGGTCCCCATGAGTAAAAAAACAGCACTTCCCTACATCACAGGGGTGCTGCGAGGATGACTGTTTTAAAAATTGTGAGATGCCCCGTTGCTGCAGTGATGGGCGCCAGGTAAGTACCTTAGAACTCTGGATGTTCTCATTATCTGGTGTATGTGTCCAACCCTGCTTTGAATGCTGCTAAATGTTTGGCCTCAGTGACTCCTTGTGGCAATGAGTTCCACAGGCTAATGAAAGCGGTGCAAAGTCTGCGTGCTGGCCCTTTACATAGGGATAAAGTTCACCCTAAAGACTCATCTAAACACAAATGTCGTACGGCTTTAACTATATTGGCGTAAAGCACTACAAATTCCCCCCCCCCCCCCGCCCTTGAGTGGACGGAGTTAGGCCAGTAGGAAAGGTGTTTAGTCTCGTGTGGGAAGGGGAATAAGCTATACTAAGATGCCTTTAGTATCACTAGGGTTGTGCTGGTGTGAATGACTAGAGCCCTCGCGGGCCTCGTCACACTGGTACAAAGCTGCGCACTGACCAGGACAGCGGCTTGGTGTCCGATCAATGCACAGCAGCTCACCTCAACCTAACGCTGGAAGTGGCTACGCTTCAGTTTGGCTCGCGCTAATTTACCTGTCCTGCTGCGCCCAGTTAACTCCAGCTGCCCGAGCGGCGTAGCGTCACGGGAGGCGTAATTCGGCGGACGCGGTGTCAGGGTAGACACTCCATGGCTTACATCGACTGTTACTGGCTTTCACGAGCCGTCCCACAATGCCCCACGCTGACAGTACACTCAGTACCAGCAAGGTGTAGCCACGCACAAGCTTGTGCCGGCGGTTGTGTGCCCACAGAAGTTAGGTTTACAGTGTGGACTTGGCCTAAGACCATAACAAGTTCCCAATGCCATGAAATCCTACCTTTGTGTCGTAGCCGGTATGTGACCCCTGCACAGAGGACCAGAACCCCCACAATGGCTATTGGCACGATGAATTCCAAGAGCTCATTCCTGAGCGAGCCTGGAAAGTAATTTACAAAGAAAAGAAGATGCTCAATAACTGGTCCCTGAATTTGGTGCACTGTTCTAAGGGGGTGGGGGTGATCGTTAAACAGGAGCAAGGGCTCATGCGGCTTTCAGATCACATTGCCGCTTCATTTATCTCTTTAATCGCGGTTTATTATCTTTGTGTACAACAGACAGAAAACACAGGAAGTGCAGAATCAGCAGAAGGTACGGAAGGTCCCAATCCGGGCTTCACTTTAAATGTGTAAATAGCCCCATTGGGACTCTCTCTGGCAGAGTAAAGGGGACATAAAAGCGGGAGTCAATTACAACCCTTTTACACATGTGTAGGCTTCAGTGTAGCTGAGCGTCAGATCCATTGTCTATATAGCAGAGCTACTCATGTGCTTAAAGTTAAGCACGCTTGTGTTTTGCTAGACCAGGGAAAAGTTTTCAAAAGCACTTAAATGATTTAGGAGCCCAAGCACCCAGATTCTCAAAGGTATTCAAGCTCCTTACTCCCATTGGTTTCAAAGGAAGTTAGGAACCTAAATACCTTTGAGGGTCTGGGCTTTAAAAGCCTAAATCTAATTGAAATTCAAAAGTCACTAGGGGCTGGATTTTTAAAGGTACTTATGCACCCAATGCCCATTGAAACCAATGAGAGTTGGGCACCTAAATACCTTTAAACATCCAACCCTAAGTCTCTTGCTGTCCCTCAGCCTCACTGGTGAGCTGACAGCGTAAGGGTTAATTAGCGACCCGAGCTGCGATGGTGAAGCAGGACCAGAGCTACTTAACTGGAGCTGGGACCTCAGTGGAGGAAGGAGGATGCTGGAGGGGGAACAAGGCGAGTTCTCCTCTGGGAGGAGCTGCCGGAGGCCAGGCTGAGGTACCCCAGGGTGTAGCGTAGGGGAGGGAGAAGGGGGGAATTGTGCTGGGGAAGAAGCCGTTCAGGAGGACCTCGGCCGGGGCCAAGAAGCCAAGGAGTCCAGTCGAGCCCCAGAGGGGCAGAACAGAGAGGGGGGACGTTGTTTGTTCGTGCACTTTAAGTTGGAGCTTTAGTAACCCCGGGAGGGGCGCGAACTGTCACGTGACTTGGCAGAAGGGCTGGGCCCTTGGCGACCCTAGAGGGGAAGTCGAAAGAAGACACCGGCTGGAACTGGCCATTGCGGGGCCAAGGCAGTGGGAGGAGGACGGGAGAGGTGAAGTCCCCTGTAATCCTGTGTCCAGGCACGAGGGGGCACCCTAAAGGTGAGAGCACCCGCTTACAAGCGCTCTTAAAATGTGGTCCTAGGGGCCGAATTCTTACGCTTCCCAATCACGTGCCAAATGCCTGGAGCTGCTCCACCCATCGCAGCTTCGCTCTGGTTTTACAGCGGCCTGACTCCATTCACACAGCTGGCTTGCCAAGCTCCCGCGGGCGGGGAGGCCACTGCGGCGGGGTGACGCCACGGAGGATGGACTACACCCAATGCTGATCTCTCATTATCAATAGCTATCGTTGGTACTGGGGGGTGTCTAGGAGCCCCCGTCGTGGACCAGGCCCCCATGGCACTAGGTGCTGTACAAACACAGAGCAAAGGGACGGCCCCGCCCCCAAAGAGCTTCCAATCTATGTAGAACACAAGAGACAACAGGCCAAAGAGGGGAGCACAAGGAACCAAGGAGACAATGGGAGTCCTAGTGTCAAACAACCGTGGATCTGATTCCCACTCGCTCCAAGGTCCCTTTACCATGAGGCGTAAAGAGGCCTAGGGGTGAATGAAAATCAGGCACAGACTCCTTGTTGTCCTTTTTTATGTCTATACTGGTTCTGCTCCTTAGGAGTTGGCTCCCAGCCCTGATGCTCTAGTTACTTTTGCAGTAGGACTATCATATGGTCCATGTTTGTAAAGGGCCTGGTCCAGCTAAGTAAGGGGGTGGGTTTCCCCCCACCAACACAGGCTAGCAAGGGGCAGGGTGGAAATCTGAGGCTTGTGGCCTCTGACAATGTTCATTCAAAGGAATGGAGACTTAAAAGAAAAATGTCCCAGGTTGAGGTTTAAATATCTCATTAAAACACCCCATAAAAGTTCCCCGCGTCATAAAGGAGGTGTCAGAAAAACCCCAATGAGAGAGAGAGAGAGTTCTATCCCCCAGAGGCTATTCGAGAGGAAGTTCCCACAGAGGGTTTTAATGTTACAATCTAGGTGCGATTTATGTCCAACCTTGGGCTTTCCTGTACTGTAGCCGAGGCTGCGGCATGATTAGCTCTGAAAACCAAGCGACCATGAAACCAGAGGCGGTATTTTTATTTACATTAAAGCTCCCGCAGGGCAAAGAGGTCTTTAAAGTGGATGCAAATTACAGTCAGGGCCCTCATTAAGGCTGCTTTATGCAGCCAGAGTGGTGTAAAAGACCCTGGTGTAAATCAGCCCTCAATGTCCTCAGCCCCACAAGGAAACTGACCAGTCCCGGTGTCTGTCTAGATGTAAATAGTGAGTAGATAAGGTGCCAGCAGATGGAGCTCAAGAATATGAGGTGTAGTTTGGGGGTTTGTAGGACCACTACAAATGGCTCCTTACCCAGACCTCTGAATGCCCGGAGCCCGCATCTGGCTGCTGAAATGGGCCCTTTGAGCTAGCCCTGCTTTACATGGGCATATGCAAGAGGAGAATCAGGCCCGTTGATTTCAAAGGAGCTGTGCTGATATGCACCAGCTGAGGATCTGGCCCACTTCGGCACCAATACTTCCACAGGGCCAGTCTCAATGCCCGCGTCGTGGGCAGTGCCCGTGAGTTTAAGCCAGGTTGGCAGGGCCCAGGGCTCAGTTCTGAGCTCAGAGACATGGGCCCTGAGGGTAGAGGTGGATCCAGAGCCTGCCCGGGAGACCCACTGCAAGGTAAGGATGTTGGGCCAAGGCCTGGCGCAGCTGATTTACGCCAGCTGGGGATCTGGCCCATAGATCATAGCCCGGTGGGCCCAGCCACTGCGCAGTAGGAGGGGATTTGCCCCTCTCTCCTCCAGCACCACTTACCGCCTGGCTTGTTGCTGCACTCCACGGGGAAGCTGAGCCTGGTGGCTTGCTGGCTGACTCTGTTCCTGGCGGTGCAGGTGCAAGAGACGCTGCCCTCCCCCGGGGTGAAGGAGAGGTGCAGGAAGCTGTCATTGTATGGATGCAGCTGGGAGGCGTTGCCCTCGCTGCAATTCCAGCTGTAGGTCACGTTGTCCCCGCTCGTCACCAGGCAGCTCAGGTTCATGGCGCAGCTCTCGTTCCCCAGGGTCTTGCTGACCATCTGGAGGTTGGGGATGGACACCTGCTCTGTAGGGAGTGACAGGGCGGGGAGACAAACTGATTATCTGGGGAAGGATGGAACGGACAGCCCTGAGTGAAAGGCTGCCGGCCTGATCTGGCTCCCAGTCCTGCTCTGGGTCATCCCATCTCCAGGGCATTTAGATGCTGGCAACATGGGCGCCATTGGACTGAGCAGCAGGTTCTAGCTGCTAAGGCCTCCCTTGGCTGCCAAGTTCGATGCAGCTCCATGAGTCGTTTTTTATGCAAATTATGTCATGAAATCATTTGCATATTTGTGAATAATTTGCATACACCCAGGCATGTCAGATTATCTGCTCCACGCAAGGCTTGCACAAAACGTGGGCCCTCTCGCTAGGGTGTCTGGGTGCTGGGGTGTCCGTAGCAGGTGGGGAGGGGGGTGTCTGGGTGTGCTGGGTAGGTGGGTGGGTGCCAAAGGGTGTGTGGGCCGTTGGGTGCTGGAGGGTGTTTGAACCATGCTGAGGCTGATGGAGGGGGGAGTACCAGGGTCTCTCCAGCACCCCTTGCAGGGAGAGGCTGGGACTGGAATAGGTAGCAGCTCTTCCCACAGCCAGCACTCTTGCCCCACTCCCCCAGCTACCTGAGGCTGGAATAACTGAAAGCATGCCCCATTTTCATCAGGCCAATAGCCTTTTCTCCTAGGAACTGACCAGCCACAGAGCTAGACCAGCGATCGGACCCAGGGTAGGTCCCCAAACCCACATACGAATGCTGTGCTCATTACCATACACTTCCAACTGGAACTGCAAAGACTGTTCCTCAAAGCGTTTGTTCACCGTGTATTCATAGTGCCCTGCATCCTCTCTCCTGGTCTCCAGTATTTCCAAGGAGAAGTTCTCTGGATGAAACTTGATCCGCTCTTTATCTGCCATTATATTGGTATGATTTCCAGAATACTCGACGATAAATGTCTTTGTGTCTTTAGCCGACGCACCTACTTTCCATAGAGCTTTGCCAAATTGCAGAGTAAAATTCTGAAGTTCGGGCGTTATGCTCAACAGCGTTGAGCCCCCCAGGCTTCCGTAGACTGTTTTTTCCGACCCAGAGCTCATGCCTGCAAGGAGCAACGAAACAGAGTTAGCACAGACATGAGTTGATGTTTTACAGACGGCAACATACACAGTGTCGTCCACCCCAAGAGTTCAAAAATCACGAGACAGACCTCAAAAACATCATGAGATGTTTAAAAAGTTATACATTCTGGAGCTCTTTTATTTGCCATCTGCTTGCTGCGCCTTTAGGGTTACAGTCAGGCTTCCTTTGTAGCTTTGCTCCGCAAACAGGAGTGCTAGAAACTTACTTTCATTATTATTTCTAGTGAAAGCAGAGATACTCACCTAATCATGTGCCTCCAGGACATGGGGTTTGAAGAAACCTCCCTCCCCTCCACCAAAAAGCAGACTCGTGATAAAATTACAAGAGTTGGCAACAAGCCAGCAAAAGTTTGGTGGCCAAGGTCCACCAACTAGCAAGCCCTGTTCCATTACTAAGAGTGTGCTTGTGTCTTGGGTTGCACTGCTGCTCCATAAGAACGGCCCCACTGGGTCAGACCAAAGGTCCATCCAGCCCAGCATCCTGTCTTCCAACAGTGGCCAGTGCCAGGTGCTTCAGAGGGAATGAACAGAACAGGGAATCATCAAGTGATCCAGCCCCTGTTGTCCATTCCCAGCTTTTGGCAAACAGAGGCTGGGCACACCACCCCTGCCCATCCTGGCTAATAGCCATTGATGGACCTATCCTCCAGGAACTTATCTAGTTCTTTTTTGAACCCTGCTATAGTCTTGGCCCTCACAACATCTTCTGGCAAGGAGTTCCACAGGTTGACTGTGCACAAGGGGGAGTAAGACAAGTGGGCAGGGAGGAGCGCAGTCTTGGCTCTGCCCCCAGCACACCATCCAGCGCTGCTGCACAGTTAGTGAGGGCCAGAGGCTGTTGATGGTGCTGCTGGTGGAAGGAGGAAGCAGGGTTTCAATTGTGCCTCTCTGAATTTCTCCCTCCCCTGCTCTGTTCCCGAGAAGGAACCATTGTCTACAAGTGGCAATGAAAGGCTCTGGCAGAGGGAAGGCAGGGGGACACTAGGCGGCAAAAAAATCACAGCGTAGACAAGGGAGGCCCAGCTTGGGTATGTAGAGAGAACGTAGGGTACATACCTTAGGGTTCAGGCATGTCTTTATTCTACTTGCCTAAGCATTGCCTCACTGACTGTACAGCTGTTTATACCCGGGCTAGAAGGCGCACGGTGTATGGACTCCACATGCCACTGAAAGGCGCATGCAGTGTAGACGGACCTTTCGATTTGTAGTAACGAGAACGCTTGGCGGTCCAAAGCTGGGAACACCCCAATATCCGCCAGGGCCAAGAACACACCAGCCCGTTCAGGCAAGAAACAGAAAACGTTTTGAGTAGGTTAAAAACAGGAAGAATTGCACCTCGTGTCTTTCTAAGAAGTCTGCACCTGCTGTCACTCGGCTGTTCTCCATTGAAGTCAATGGCAGCCAGACCTCCAGCCCGTGCTGTTTGGCCAGCGTTCCACTGATGTCAATGGCTCAGAGACCAGCTACTGTAAGTTGATGTAGCGCTGTGACACCAGCTGAGGATCTGGCCCGTTGTCGTGCTGAAATTAGTGGCAATGTTTGCACGGCAAGGTCAGGGTGGCAGGGGCTGGCCCGGTTGGTCGACGCCTGGGCTGGTTCGCGTCCCAAGAACCCCCGCTCCCTTCGCGAGCTGACAGGAAATGAGTTGTGTTCCCTTGAAAAATCGACACAAGTGAAAAAGTTTTCATTTTCAGCAACCGTTTTCTTCAAGTGCTTTTAGGTTGTCAGAAAAAATGGCAGCTCTATGATGATCTCCCTGCTGCTTTCATCATTCCCCTGCTTAGCTGAGGGGCCAGTTGCTAATCACACCAAGGCCTTGTCTACACTCACAGCTTGTACCACTTTAACGATGCCGGGCTAGTTAAAGTGATACAGTCCCCCCCCAGTGTGAATGCAGTTAGACAGGTAGAAAGGTGCTTTATATTGGGCTAGTTATTCCTCCAGAGAAGGGGAATAAGTTATACTGGTTTAAGGATTGTACTGGTCTAATTACCCCAGGTGGCACTGGTCTGACTACACTGGTAGAATTCAAACTCACAGCCCTAAATGAAAGAGCTAAACCGGTATAAAAACCGTGTTCAGAGTCGGACGAAGGCTCCGTTGCAAAGCCAGAGCAGAACGTGCAAAGAGACCCTGACTCAGTAAAGCATCAAAGCATCTGCATTGATGAGCGGCGCTTGCCCTGTTTTGAAGGCATCCGGAGCTGACGTTCAAAACCCCCAGGACTCTGAGGAGGCCTTTAAGTGCAGGACAAAGGGGAAAGCCTTTGCTTGACTCAGAGCAGTTCTGAGACAGACTCCATGCTGGAGGTGACAGTCCCTGGCAACATGAGGCTTAGTTAGATTACTGTGCTCTTTTCTGGGAACTGTGGGCTCAGGAAGGAGATGACAAATCTGAATAAGTTCAGAGGGAAAAAAATGACTGTTGCAAGGGTTAGCTATAAATAACTGATAAAAGGTTAATAAATGAGGAATCCGTTGTTTTAATAAATGACCTATTGGAACGGATGATTACACAGCCCAGCCTGCTAGACTACCTTCAGCAGATGTGCTTAGGACCATGTAGAGCAATGGTTTTCAACCTTCTTTTCATTTGCGAACCTCTAAAACATTTCATATGGAGGTGCGGATCCCATTGGAAATCTTAGACATAGTCTGCAGACCCCCAGGGGTCCGCAGACCACAGCTTGAAAACCACTCATCTATAGCACGTGTCTGTAACATGCTTGCATCATCAATTTGTTCATTCACCCTAAATGGAACCTTAATATGAGGGGCTGCAGGCATTCACCACCACAGCAATGCGGGTAAGGAGACAGGTCACTGTCTATAAATATTTGACAGGAGGGGAATTGTTCAGGGTGGAACAATGCCCAGGAGGAATGAGCTGAAATTGTGCAAGGGGAAATTTCGATGGAGTCTCCCAGGGAAATCTCCATTCAGTAAGGTCTGTTAGATTGTGGGGTCACGTAGGAGACCCATCACTTGAATCCCTTAAAACTAGACTGGGCTCAATTCTCAAGAAGGGAGCGCTGCAAAATGTTTGCAATGAAATCTCACAGCGGATGGAATTCAGCAGTGATCAGCCGATGGAACGGAGCCTTTGAGGGAGGAAAAGATGATCTTGTGTTTGAGGCACTAGGCTGCAGACCAAGAAATCCACATGCAATTCCTGCCTCTGCTATACACTCCCTGTATGGCCTTAGGTAAAGCTCTGGTCCTCGGTTTCCCCAGCTAAGATTTTCAAACGCGGCTCGTGATTTTGAGTACCCAACTTTAGAAATAAGGCTGAGATTTCTAACAGGGAGGGCGATTAACCATTGGAGCAAAGTGCCGAGGGAAGTAGTGGTGTCTCCATCTCTTGACGTCTCAGATGAAGACTGGAGGCCTTTCTGGAAGAAATGTGTTAGCCACACACAAGTTACTGGGCTCAATACAGGGGTCAGAGGGTGAAATTGAATGACCTGTGGGATTGGAGGATCTAATGGTCTCTTCTGGCCTTAAAATCCATGAAATGTGAGACAGCTCAGAGGGACTGCCTTGTCAGAGAGTGCTGAGCACCTGCCTTCTGAAAGGCAAGTGCCTTTCAAGTGTCTCCAGTTGGGCACCCAAAAGGCCTGTTGCAAATGTCAGACCCCCATGTGTGAGAGGAGGATCATAATACTTCTCCTTCACACCGGGCTACTGTAAGGCTGAACTCTCATTAGGTGCTCAGATAATGGACTGATCCGCGCTATGGAAAAACTGGTTAATAAAAACAATTTTAAGCCTCCCGGTTTTGACGTGTGTGTGTGTGTATACATAGCACTGTCCATTTCTCCTGGAGATAATTTTGTGAAGGTGTCAGCCCTCCTTGGTTGGGGGAAGTCCCTGAGAGCCCTTTTCCACCCCTTACCTAGGGTACAATGAATCACATTCACCCATCCTATTGATTACCAAAGCTTTGTTTTGGTAGGAAACATTAGTCGTGAGGGATGACAGCTCATCGTTGACTGTGTTGCTGTTGTCAGTTAAACTGGAAGCAAAACCAACTCATTTTACCACCTGCTCTTTCCTGTGAATTATTTCCATGAGAGGAGGGGATTTGCCCCAACGCAGAGAAACAACAAAGGGGGGTTCTGCCCCCCCAGATAGCAGATCCCCATCCTGCCTAGTTTGCAAACACACAGTTGTTCAGTTTCAGTAAATACCACAAACAAAATAGCTAACCTATCATGTAGCTGTGTGTTCCCAGGATGTGGCAGGAATAGACAAAGATCTTGATTTTCATTTATGCTAATAGCACAGAGCGTAGATGAGAACCAGGCCCTAGAGCGGTGTGTTATGATTAGGATCTTAATAGTGACTGATAGAAAAGCCCTGTTAGATCATCTCGAAAATCCCTCTGCCAGGGCAGAGTTCCCAGCCAGAGCGCACATCCAGTATGAAGCAGGCATCTCATCTGAACTCTGACAACAGGCAAAAGCGAGTAAGACAGAATCCAGGTTAAAACCTGGCTAGAGTCCAGGACCAGCAGCATTCCAAGGGAAAAGCTCCTGATGGGATCAGAGATGGGCAGTGAGTCTAAAGCAGGTCTCATGCCGTCTGGGACTTTTTTGGTATGCCCCTGACACAGGAAAACCCAAGGGGAAGTTACAGCCTGTATTCGCCTGGGATGGAGCCAGTTTTGAACCAACCAAACCAATGAGAAATTCCAAACTGAGGCTGTCTCATGGTCTTCTCCTTTTCTTGAACTCATCTCATTTTGCCCCATATTGCAGCCCATTCAGTAGATGGTGTCTTGCACATTGTTAATGTTCCCTAGTGGTTCGAACAGGAGCGTGGGAGTCTGGACTCCTGGGTTCTAGATCTGGCTCTGAACTAGTGTCTAGGTTACCGGTTAGAGCAGAGGACTGGGAGTCAGGGGTCCTATGTCCATCTCTGCTGCTTTCTGGGTGTGTAATTATGGGCAATCTGTCAGCCTTCCTGGTCCGCCCCTTCTGTGAAATGGGGATAATATACTGGCCGCCCTCCCAAAGAGTTTGAGCTACTCTGTCATTCATGCCTCGAAAGGGTTTAGAGACCCATGAATGGAAGGGGCTAGGGGTGGGCAGAGCATCCTCACTGAGCCCTGTCTAAGATGGAGGAACAATAACAGAGTTACAGAGAGAGAATCAACTTCAGCTCCGGTTCCCGTTGCTTTGTTTGACGTGAGGCACGTCCTCATTGTCCTGCACGTACTTTGCTTTTTAAACAATCTTCAAATAATAGGAAAGATTTTTTTAATCTTCAGTTTTGACAGTTGTTACGCCGTCCCTGAATAACAGAAAAATCCTAATAGGACCCCAGGAGTCTTGACTCCCATTCCCCCTACTCTGACCACTAGACACACATCCCCCGCAAACTGGGAACAGATCCCAGCAGTGTTGACTTCCAATCTAACCACTAGACACACGCTCCCTTTAGCAAGACACCGTACATGCATCCCTGGACATATAGCAGCCAGTATAGCCACCTCCAGAGCCCTGAAAAGAACAGTCTTCTCTGCATAGAAATCCGAGATCGCAAAGACCTGCAGAATTAGGGTAATTTCATCCGTCCCGCCAGCATCACCCTGGCCAGTGCGTGCTGGCTCCCTACAAGCTGTTCTATGGAGGTTTGCAACGCAATCCATTTCTAGACTTTGAGCCATCTAGTTTTAAGTGATGTAAACTTTGGGGCTGACCCCCCATTCAACAGCCTGACAGACAGAGCTCACCGTTTGTAAACTTCACCTGACAGCCAGCCTCAATCTGGTGCTAATTTCACCCCGTTCCTCCTAGGCATTAATTAATTGTTATTATTTAGTGTGGTAGCATCTCAGACCCCCAGTCACAGTCTAGGACCCCCAGCGGCTCAGCTCCCTGTGAATGACAGTAAGTGACAGATTCCCTAAATAGTTCCATTGAAGTCAACGGGACTACTTGTGAAATCAGGCACTACACATACCGTGAGTAAGGGTGGCAGAGACAGGTACCGAAGGATTTGTTAGAAATTATTCACCCAGCTCTAATATACATTGTAAAATGATTCCTTGCTGGATCTCTCTATCTTGGTTCTCAGCTCTCTTCACAGTCCTGTGAGCATCCACAGATTAAAACAATATGAACTATACACCCTTTGCAGAAAGCTGTTCCTCTTTTCAATGCAGATTTGTATTCTGGCTATAAAGCACAGCAGCATCTGCCTCATGCTTGATAAACGCAATTGTCACATATAGCTCTGAACAGCATATGCCCTCAAATCAATTTGCACCAAGACTTTTAACCATAGGAAAACGTACATACCCCCAGCACAGCAAAAAGAAATGATCAGCAAAATGCATTCACTGCAGTCCATCTCTCGACGCATGAAACTTTGCTTGCAGTGGACTTAGTATTTAAAGGTCTGCTGATACAGCATACAGTATGACCAGGTGTATTCAAATAAGACGCAAGCTTCTTGTGGGACCACGCATGTTTCCTGTTTTTGGTCTGCTGTGTCTTTCCTTTTTTCTTTGGGGTGGAAAGTATTCAAAGTATATAGAGTCACACTGCTTAATCCTTTACTGCACAGCTCTCCAGCAGCTCACAGCTAAATAGAATGTGATGTCTGTCGAGATATAGATAGCTAGATAGTTAATACAAAACAAAACAAAAAGCCAATGTTAAGTAACAGCTAAGATTGCTTAAATGAAAAACCCACCCAATTCAGTTCCTGAAAAGCAAAGAAATGACCAGTAGGAATAGGAAGCTCCCTTCTCCAAAAATAACAACTATCTGTCACCTTAAGCATCCCCTACCATGAAGCGTGCTGTCAGCTCCTAGACAATAGAAGGACTGCCCCATCTAACGCCCACAAACCATCAACTTCAACTTCAACCTCACACTTGCACAGACACACACCATCCCCTGAACATAAAGAGTGAACCATGTAAACTGCACGTGTCAATAGATCAGCATCTAAACCCCATAAATCAGGCCCCACAAAATCACAAGACTGGCTTATAAAGCCGGAGATTTTTGTAAAAACAAAAATAACCACCATTCAGTTCTTTTTTTTTGCCTTTTGTTTCAGCGCTTCTAGTCACTCGATTCATGTTTTCAAGATTTTCTCTGCAACCACAAGGCTAGAAACTTACCTTTAAAGAAATGAAAACTCAGATTTTCTTGCAAGTTTTTAAAACAAGGAGCCTTAAGGTAAGCCCCAAATAGAGGTCAGAGTTAAGGGTTTACATTAGTCTGGTCAGGACCCACGAGGGCATTGTGCCTTCTTTCTAGGTGGGATGCTGCGGCCTTTCCTCCTCCTATTGCAACACAAGCCAGGATTGAGCACCTCAGCTTTGCTTAAGCCAGTGCAGGACCAACATGTGAAAAGCCAGCCTGCAGGAATTCACTAAGTGGCAGCTGTGTAAAGGACTCACCAGCCTGAGACCATCTGCTGTATGCACTCTATTCTCTGAGCACTACACTAGTTTTACCTGCAAATAGCCTCACAATGCCTGTGGGAAGCAGGGCCCTGCTGTTAGCTTCATTTTACAGGCTGAGAACTGAGGCCCAGTGGGTAAGTGACTTGCCCAAGGTCACGAAGAATGCCTGTAGCAGTGCAGGAATTAAAATGACGTCTTTCACATGCTAGCATAATCTGGGCATATTTTATTTAATCAATTTCCTGCCAGGGCAGGGACCTCAAGCATCAGCAGCTGTCACAGTTCAGGGCAATTGCACCTGTATTCCCCTTCTGTGGGCACCTGGTTCCTCAACCATTACCTCTCTTAAGCGGAGGCCCACGTCTCCCTCCTGCCTGACTGCCAGCCTCCTTTCCAGGCTGCATAGTTCCTGTCTACACTGGGTTGCCCAGCAAGCCAGACGGCTTAACCAGGCCAGCTCCTGCACTCTGCTTTCTCCTCAGAGGTTAGGAGCAGATGAATTTCCAGCAGTCACAAGTTACTGCTCAGCTCTTTATAAGAAATCACCTTTATTTTTAAAGTAAAAGCATTACAGAGAAAACACATCAAACAATAACAGTTCCTCGCTGGTTGCTAAAAGCTTACCCCGCAGTCTCACAGGGCCTCTGTAGGCCAAAGTCTTTCCTACCCTTCCCAGGAAGGATTGGGGACCCCCTTGGACAGAAGATCCTCTCGGTATGCTGGATCCGAAAGCAGGCCCTGAGTCACTTTAAACTCAGGCTCTTTATCCAAAAGTCCTTCCTTTGCCCACTGGTCTCTGGAGAAACCAATTTGAACCAGAATATGCACCCGCTCCTGATGGTGGGACCTCCCTGGAGGTGTTACAACCTGAGTGAATTTGCCTCATCACCCCCGCCCACACACACACACACACCCTCCACACATACACACTGTTCTTTGAGCCTGGAGGGTTGTGGTTCCTCTCCCCTGCTATGGGATTACAGACAACCCCGGCCCACACTGATACATTAATTTAACGCAGTAAGATCCCCCAAAGATATTGCAGGAAATCACCATCTCTGGCACAGGGGCACTGTTTGCCGCCTTTGGCAACCAATGGGTTCGTCTTTTGATGACTGAAATGCTTTAGTCCAGCATCACTGGGCTGTATATAGGTGTGACTGGGTATCATGTAATGGCCCGAGATATACACAAAATCAGGAGAGATGAGCTAATGCTTCCTTCTGGCCTTAACGTGTATGAAACCCCAGGCTAATGCCCTAACCCCTGGGCACTCCGAAGATTCTGCCCTTTCCCTGGTCACCTGTTGGGAGGAAGCTCCAGGGTACTGCCTGTTCTTGTTGAATTTGCGATATTGTGGTAATTGTGAGTCCCGCAATATTCGGCTTCCGCTGCAATTTTGTCAGCTGGGCAGCTGAGAGCGGGAGCCCCGGCCACCAGCCACCCAGACTCCCACTGTCAGCCCCGCGCGTTAATGGCTGTAATCTAGTTGCAGCAAAATGTCTGGTTATCAAAAAAATGAGCAGGCATAAGATAATACTTGAGTGTTTATATTGTTTCAGCAAATATTTCTTAAACATATAGGTCTTCTCCAGCTTTTCCAAATGACTGCAACGAATAAAGGGCCGTTATTCCTTTTCCACGTCTTGTCCACAATTCAGCTGCGATGATTTGGCAATCGTCCTGCAATTCAACTGGGGCCTTAATTATAATTATACAGTGCCTAGGTACCCCACTAAAGGACCAGGACCCATAGCACCGGGTACGATACAAACACAGAACAGGGCTGTTGTATTGATTTAGATGGACCAAATGGGCCCAAAGTGTCAAAGGTGTTAACATGACCCTGCAACTGTACAACGTTAAACAAGGTTTGGGGTTTGGTATAGAGAGATCTCAGCTTGCTTAGTACCATAGCAAACACCCCATTAAACCTCCTTTTAACACTTTATTAAAGATAGGGGAAAGAAGGAAAAAGTATGGAAGAATTTGAAATTTAAAATATTAAGTACAGTTTTTATTTTAGCAGCATTTCTAGTTCCCGATTTCATTTTTCGAAGGAAAGCCTGCGTTGACGGTCTCTGATGGTATGAAAGCTGCGGTTACCTGTCCTTTGGGGGAAAAAGAGAAGTTAGTTGAGATGAGCTGGCGTTGGCATTATTCCTGGTGGTGTTCAAGGCGGATCCCATTTCCTAGAAGGCAAAACAAGACAAACGCACACAACCGGGGGGAGGGGGAAAGAACAGAAAATGCAGCTTCTGCCTTTGGTGTTGAGGCTCCCGTGTAACCTCACAGCTGGAAAAACACCGACACAGTACATGGGCTGACACCTGGCACGTTGGGCTGTTTAGGGCTTTGCATCAGCTGCCTCTTTGTGGTCACAGGCTCACAGCAGTGTTGTAAAATATGCGGTCTTGGCTGACTCTTATTAGACAGAAGGAAAAAGGAGAGGGATAGAAAACAGAAGAAATGATGTGGGGAAGAAAAGGGAAATATTGTTGGGGCAGCGGAGGGTGGGGGGAAAGGAGACCGTCTCACATCCCAGATGGTGTTCAGGATTCAGCCGGAGCTAGTGGTGGTGGTGATGTCATCTGGGTCCTTCTCTGGTCAGCACATATCTTACGATCAGGATGATGAAGGTCCCAGGAGATGGCAACCATGGTGGTGAAGCTCACTCCTGTAGTCAATTTTTCTCTTGAAGTCTCTTTAAGGGCCCTAAAGTGGAATATCCCATCCCCTGATTATTTTGTCCACCGGTTAGGCCTAATTTCCAACTCACCAATTTTGGTTCGAAAATTTCTGGCCCCAGAATTTTTCTTGTTTTCAGGCATGATCTTAACACAGTCCTTGAGTTATATCAGGCGGTCTTTTTGTTTGGCCTAATTCAGTCTCTCTCTTTTTTGTAACTTCTCCCATCTATATTTGTTGGGACAAGTTATTGTGATTTCTTAGGAACTTCCACTCACTCTTCACGATTGAGCGCCTAACCAAGGTAAATCTGAAGGCCCAGTTTTCACAACAGTGCCAGCCCCAGGGAGTTTACAATCTAAACTTATGACAGGTTTCAGAGTAGAAGCCGTGTTAGTCTGTATCCGCAAAAAGAAAAGGAGGACTTGTGGCACCTTAGAGACTAACAAATATATTTGAGCATAAGCTTTCGTGAGCTACAGCTCACTTATGAACCACTCAGGAAACAGACCTAGATATCACGGTGAGCAACTCAATGAAGGCTGCTGCTCAAGGAGGAGCAGAGGTGAAAAAAGCAAACAGAATCTGAGGCCATAGGAGCAGTGGGATGAAAAATAATACTGAGCATTACAACTGACCAGGTGTACTTTTGTTTTACATGAAAAATTCCAAAAGAAAACAAACATCTGAACATTTGGGGGGTTTTCTCATTCAAAAATTGTTTTGAGTTATCTGATGTTTCCCCCTTTTTGGTCCTGTCCCCGTTTTTTCCAGCGGAGAGATACGGGTAGGAAAGTAAAACTGTGAAAGTGGGAGAACCAGCCTCCCTTCCTCTTTTAATTTTTTCCCTGCTGGAAAAGTGTGAGAAAAGTAAAAAGGTAAGTGAAGGGGTTATGCTGTCTCCCTTTTTAGCAATTTAAGAAAGGTTTTTACACTTTGCCAATAGAATATTTTTTAAGTAAGAGAAAGTGAGAAAAAAATTCTTACTTATGTTTACTTCCCCCCCCTTCCCAAACATGGAGAGGAAGTGGGAATTCCCCACAATTTCCAAAGAAAAGCATTTTAAAATGTCAGAAATAACAATAGTGAGAAAATCTTTTGCAAATGTTTCACATTGAATTTTTTCCTGAAAAATAAAAAATTGCATAAAAATGAATTTTTGTTGTAAAAACTAAATTCATTTTTGCCACCCCATTTTTTGGATTAAAAAGCATGTCATCTCAAACATTTCAACCAGCCATGCTAAAAATATTGCATTTCACACACACGCACGCAAATGCCATTATATAAACCAATGGTCTCCGGCATGCTGTGTAAAGGTCTGGTCACTCTGTCTCAGACAGTATCTAGGAGACATATAGGGAGTTTCAAAAATGCTTAGAAAAAGTTCCCTAGGGAGAGAGATTAAAAAACCTTGATGGAGAGTTAGCGATTTATACCAGATGAGGGTTACTCTCCTTTGAGGCTTTCTAGTTTGAAAAAAGATCCTGAATAAGTGAAGAGGATAGACACGTAGAAAATAATGAATGGT